ATTTTGGATTTAGAAGGTTTTAACAATGTCTTTGGATGGCATGCATACTTATGGTATGACAAGGTTAAAGCACATAAGGCCTTTAAGAACCATATTGTCAGGAAAGCATTGTTTAATGTCTGGGTGAGATATAAGGATTTGTTGGAAAGTAAAACACCAAGGTGGCTGTCACCAATGGAGGCTAAGGCTCTGAAAAAAACTAATATGGAGACAAATTGGCCAAAATATTGTGAAATTTTAGAACAAGATGGAGATAGATTAAAGCTGCAGAGCTTTGACAAATTAAAAACTAAAGTTTGAGACTGGCTTCATTACTATCAAATAAGGGAGGCTTATAATTTAGATAAGAAGATTGGTTTCCAGGAGGAAAAATCAAAATTGGAAACAGAATTGTTAGATCCTAAAACTAAGAATTTGTCAAGAATGTATAACTTGCTGTTGAAATGGAATACACAGGATGAAACGGTTAAATCTGTTATGATTAAATGGGCACAAGATTTTGGACATAACATTATGTTTGCTGACTGGGAACAGTTATGGACCACAGGTATGAAATTTACGGCTTGTAATGCCTTAAGAGAAAATATAATGAAAATGATTTACAGGTGGTACGTAACCCCAGTCAAGCTAGCAAAAATCTATCATTTGCCGGATAGTAAATGTTGGAAATGTAAAGAGACTGAGGGTACATTTTTTCACCTTTGGTGGACATGCCCAAGGATTAAGGCTTTCTGGGAAATGATATATAATGAATTGAAAAAGGTATTTAAATATACCTTTCTGAAGAAACCAGAGGCCTTTCTTCTGGGCATGGTCGGCCAATTGGTGCGAAGGGAGGATAGAACTTTCTTTATGTATGCTACAACAGCAGCAAGAATACTCATCGGGAAGTACTGGAAGACACAAGAATTGCCTACCCGAGAAGAATGGCAGATGAAAGTGATGGACTACATGGAACTGGCTGAGATGACCGGCAGAATTCGAGACCAGGGAGAAGGGTCGATGGAAGAAGATTGGAAAAATTCAAAATATACCTTCAAAAATACTGCAATATAAAAGAATGTTAGAAAGAGGTTGGAAAAAGAATATTAGGTCGTTCTGGTAGATATGATATAATGGACTAAGCAAAAATGAGTTGATGAAATTGATGGAATAGAGGAGGTTTAATTACATTATTTTAATTTTAAAATACGTAAATGAAAATAAGGTTAGAAGGATTTGCTGGAAACACGATTTGAACTAGAATACAAAATTGGGAGGTGAGAGGAGGTCATGGAAATAAGTAAAGGGGAAAAGCTATGTAAAGGTTTAATCTGTTTTTGTTTTATTTTAACTTAATGTATTTTTATATTTTTTGTTAAGTCTTCTTTTTTATTCTATCTTATTGTTCTTTTTTACTTGTTCACTTTTCGCTTTGTTATGGCTAAAGTTTTCTTTGTATTTTGTATGGTTTTTCTTTTTCTTTTTTGTAACTTTAAATTTGGAATAAATATCATTTAAAAAAAAACCAAAACAGAGGTGGCCGAAGGAAGCCTGTTTAACCCGAATAACACCCAGAGGATGGTTGCCTTGCTACTGTCGAGTGCAACAGAGGACAGGGTTGTTTTGTGGCAATTTAAAGTTGATAAAGAGATTTATGGTAGTGGAAACCTTTGTGGCCTAAAGACCCCTTCTCCTTTAGTCCACAGAAGTTTATGCCACTATAAATCTCTTGGTCTTTCAAATGCCACAAGACTCTATTGTGTTGCCTAATGTCAACTGCTGTCTCAATTACCCGGCACTCGTTTATTTCACTCCTTTTCACCATTACCCAGAAGCAACAAAACGGCCAGCACATTAAACCCAGGAATTCTGGCCCTCTAGTTCTTCCCATCACCCTCATAATTGCCACACATCCTAGTGTGAAGAATGAGAGGCTGTACTCCAGAGGTTCCCCCCCTCGCCCACCACCAGCTTCTGGGAAATTTCACTTGGGCATTTTGTCACTGGCTCATTCCAACTTGCCAGTAGTGAGAGAGTCTGAGAACAGCCTCTGGAGACAGGTTTTCAAACACTTCTGAACCACACAGTGTTTTTTTGTTTTTTTTTAAATGATATTTATTAAAATTTCAAAAAGATACAAGAATTACACAAAAACACAAAATGAAAATACAAAAAAATACAAAATACAGCAAGAAGAATAAAAAAAAACCACCCTTATTAAGATATAACAAAACAATGAAAAATAAAAAGAAACAAACAAAATAAAAACAGTTAAAAACACATTAATTTTCCATAACATATCTTCCATACACTTATTTCCCCGGACCTCCTCGTACCTCCCTTTTTTGTATTCCAGTTCAGTTTGTTAGCTCAGCAAATCCTTACCATTAAGCTTTTACCCATTTGTGAACCTTTTTTTGTATCTCTTAAAGCATTACAGCCGGAAACCACTTAGTTTCTATCCAACATCCTTCTAAGATTCATTAATTTTACAATATTTCTGTAAATAGTCTTTAAATTTCTTCCAGTCTTCTTTCACCGACTCTTCCCCCTGGTCTCGGATTCTGCCAGTCATTTCTGCCAATTCCATGTAGTCAATCACCTTCATCTGCCATTCTTCCTGAACCACACAGTGTTCAAGGTAGCTGTTATGTTGGCGTATAATTATAGAGGGGGTGTGTTATTATTTAGCTGTTTTAATTATTTATTTGTGTTTTTACCTTGTATTTTATTCTGTGAACCGCCCTGCGATCTTACGAAGAAGGACGGTATATAAACTAAATAAATAAGTAAATAAAACAAATAAACTTTGCAGCTTAATTGTTAGAAATGGTCATTCTGGAACCACAACTTGACCAGATGATCTCCAGGGAACCTCTCAACTAGGGCTGGGCGATAGCTGCTTTTCAGCATCGTGATATATCACCACGTAAACACTGTGATATATGATATATCATGATGCCTGAAATAAGGATGGCAGCAATGTCTAAGCAACACGATGACCATGTACATACGCATTAGAAAATCTTTATAGAATTCCTTCAAGCCATAACAAGTACAAAATGAAATCTTTAGTCTCAAAGTCTCTGAAAATCTTTAAATGAAGCGAGGTACCAAACTCTGTACGATGAAAGACAAGCTGTGAAGCTTTGTGTATTTATTCAGCAAATATGATGTCCAACACTGAACAGTGAGTCCGGATATTGACTACTGTTTTGTGGAATTCTTTGTCAGCGTGGTGGGAGGATATAGAATTGCTTCATAAACCCATCTTATTTCAAATGAATGTATGTAAATGAAAATATCAAATGCTGTGGAACAGTGCTCATGTAATAATGTAGTCATAAGGATGGAGCTATGTAGAGGCATTACCTGGCTTCACAGTTTTTCCTGCATCGTGATTTTTTGCATAGTGCACACACAAATCATGATTCATGATATATTGCCAGGTCAAAAATTATGAAATCGTTATCACAATATGGACTTCAAACCAGCTTTGGACGATATATCGCCCAGCCCTACTCTCAGCTCATGATTATTATCTTTCCTGGGGCAGTAAACGCAGCACTTTGTGGCAACCTTGTTGTGCTACAGCCACCATCCAAGCCATATTGACTCCATGAAAACCAGCAACATGGAAAAAGAGGCAGGCAAGGGCAGTTAAGATACCTGGATGGTCTTTTGACTCCAGCTCCCATCACCAACCTAGTCCCCGTCTGGTAGAGATTTAGGGGCCAAGCCAAGATGTCAATCCAAAATCGCCTGGGAAGGAAATTGAGGAACCGGCTAAAGCAGAGCTTTCCAAACTCTGTGTCGCGACAGTTTAGCGTGTTGGCTGCAGTGTGTTGGTGTATTGTGCAAATGCTCCTCTCGGGACTGGAAAGGGGTTTGTTAGTAAAACTGAATTACTGTGTCGCAAAATGATGCATGTCTAAAAAGTGTGTCACCAGCATGAAAAGTTCGGAAAGCTCCTTTAAAAAAACAAAAACAAAAAAATTAGAATCCTTTTTCCTGGATGGAAATCAGATGGAAATTCCCAGGTGTCAAAAAAGGCTATTTATGTATGCCACTACTGTGGCTCATGTTTCGTTAGCCCAAAATGGAAAACGAGAGAGGTCCCAACTAAAGAAGAATGGTAACTTAAATTGATGGAATATGCGCAGCTTGCGGATCTAACATATAAGAGAACAAGAAGAACATACGTTTAGAGAAGATTGGAAAGATGTTTATTGAATATATGGAGGAAAATTGTGTACACTTGAAAACACGGGCAGCATTAAGATAAATTCAACAGTGTAAATAAGTTTTGATGGATATAATAATGGAATACTGAATGGTTTAGTTTATATAAAATATGCAGGGATTTATGTTGTGCAAAATGAACCATGGGAAGACATTGATATTTTAAGGTTGTTTAAGTGAATATTCTAAAATGTAAAACAGAAATTTAATAAAAATTGTGACTGCTGAATTGCAAAATAAAAATGGAAAAAAAGGAAAAGTTTGGAAAGTTCTGAGCTAAAGTTTCAGCCTACCTGTCTGCATGGTGGAGACTGCAGGGACAGCAGCGTTCAGGAGAAGCAGCCATTTCCCCCACGCCTGCAAGCCTCCTCGATGGGCTGGTTTGCTCATCTTGGTCTCTTTCGGGAGCCCCTGCATGCCAGGCTATAGCAGAGGAAAAGGCAGGAGTGTGTGAAATGGCAACAGCTGTGAGAAGCAGGGTTTAAATGGACCACCCCAGCCCCCGGTGACCAAATCAAGCCGGGGATTGCTTTTGCGTGATCTGACAAGGGAACAAAAGGAGAGGCTGGCAAGCTTATTGCAAAAGAGTCCCATCCTGGTATAAGTGTGTGTTTTTTCCAAACGGGCGGCTTAACTTTTGCCCTCCTTCATGCCGGCTTTTGCAGACGCTGTCTGCACATCGCTCAGTTGCCATGGGAATGACGGGAGACGGATGGAGCGATGCAAACATCCTGTCTCGGGCAATCTAACCGAACGCCTCAGGAATCTTGAACTGGCTCCTGGCATCGCCATGTGCCAACTCGCACCTGCTTTCTGGACGATCCCACGCCTGAGGCTGGCAGTTTTGAAACGAATGCAAGATGGGTCTAAGCAAAGCCAGCCAAATGGGAAACAAGAGCGCTGACAGACACTGCTGGGCTGTTGGCTGAGGGTGGTGCCACGCCTTCAGGCTCACATGGGCACCATGCCTTCACAACGCAGCTTCCTGTTTTCCTATCCATATCTCTTGCAGCTAAAACCACAACTCTAGTCCGTGAAAGCTCAAGCCACAATGCATTTAATGGTCTTTGAAGGTGCACACAAGATTAAAAAACAAAGTGCGAGACTGGCTTCATTATTTTCAGATAATGGAGGCATTCAATTTGGACAAGAAAATTGGCTTCCAGGTGGAAAAATCAAAATTAGAAACAGAACTGTTAGAACCCAAAACTAAGAATTTGTCAAGAATGTATAACTTGCTGCTGAAATGGAACACTCAGGATGAAACGGTGAAATCTGCTATGATTAAATGGGCACAAGACGTTGGACACAACATTATGTTCGCTGACTGGGAACAGTTATGGACCACAGGTATGAAATTTACGGCATGTAATGCCCTAAGAGAGAATATTATGAAAATGATATACAGGTGGTACATAACCCCAGTCAAGCTTGCAAAAATCTACCATTTGCCTGATAATAAATGTTGGAAATGTAAGGAAATTGAAGGTACATTTTTCACCTTTGGTGGGAGTGCCCAAAGATTAAGGCTTTGGGGGAGATGAGATATCAGGAATTCAAAAAGGTATTTAAATATACCTTCTTGAAGAAACCAGAGGCCTTTCTCCTGGGCATAGTCGGCCAATGGGTGTTAAAAAAGGATAGAACTTTCTTTATGTATGCCACAACAGCAGCAAGAATACTTATCGCAAAGTACTGGAAGACACAAGAGTTACCCACACTGGAGGAATGGCAGATGAAATTGATGGACTATATGGAATTGGCGGAAATGACTGGTAGAATCCGTGACCAGGGAGAAGAGTCGGTGGAAGAAGATTGGAAGAAATTTAAAGACTATTTACAGAAATATTGCAAAATTAAAGAATGTTAGAGTGATGTTGGATTGAAATTAAGTGGCTTCTAGCTGTACAGGCTTTAAAGTTATATATAGATTAAGATTAAGGATTAGGACTAAAAAAGTCAAAAGAAATGGAAAATTGGTTTTTAATAGATTAAAATTTAATGTTATATTATATTAAGATTAAGGATGGGATTAAAAAGGAAGGAAAGGAATTGCTGGACAAACAAATTGAACTGGAATACAAAAGAGGGAGGTATGAGGAGGTCCGGGAAATAAGTAAATGTAAAAGTTGTGATGAAAAGATGGAATTGTTTTTAACTGTTTTTTCTTTTTTCTTTTTGTATTTTGTATTTCGTATTTTGTATGGTGTTTTTTTCTTTCTATTTTTAATTTTTTTTTCTTTATTAAGATGTTCTTTTCATGTGAAACTCCAATAAATATCATTTAAAAAAAAAATGAAGGTGCACACAAGATTCTGTGTTGCTTCGGGAAGAACATGTTGCTGCAGCTGCCAATGGAGACATATTCCAACTGACCTAGCAGTTAGATGGTGTGATTTTGTTTCCATCTGTTCCCTCTTGCTCTCCTTTTCTTTTCATTGCTTTCTCTTCCACAAAACCATTTTTCTTTTCTCTCTATTTCCCCCTTCTTCCTCCACCACTTCCAGTGACTTTCCTTGAGTAGGTTTCTCTCTCGTGTGGTAGGAATTTTATGGTCTTAGACATATGGTAATGTTCATAAGTGTACCAACCAAGCACGTACATAGATCAGCACAGGAAGACCGACCTGGAACCATTTTGATTCCCAAACTGTCCCAAACCGACCAAATGTTTTCTCTGCAAGGTCAAAGGAAAATGGAAAATCCTCCCCGTTGTCTTTTCCTTCACAAATCCATTCTTAAGGGCACATTTAAGATATGAATAAGGTGTGAGCCTGTGGCATGGCCCAGGAACTAAGTATTTATCACTACAATTTATCACTATCCTAGGCCCTTCACGGGCCTAGGACCCTCGTACCTACGGGACCACCTCTCCTGGTATGCCCCACGGAGAGCCTCAAGGTCCATAAATAGCAACACCCTAGAGGTCCCGGGCCCTAAGGAAGTTAGATTAGCTTCAACCAGAACCAGGGCCTTCTCAACACTGCCTCCGGCCTGGTGGAATGCTCTGCCTCATGAGACCAGGGCCCTGCAGGATCTGATTTCTTTCCGCAGGGCCTGTAAGACAGAGTTGTTTCACCTGACCTTTGGCTTGGAGCCAATTTAATTCCCTCCCTCTTTCTTTTATCTTTTCCTTCTCGTCCTGCAATGAGGCTACTTTTTAATATTTTAATGCTTCAATATTTTAATGTTGTATTTTAATTTTGTTCTTAAGTTGTAGTCATTCAACTTGTTTTTATTATTGCTTGTAAGCCGCTCTGAGCCTGGCCTTGGCTGGGGAGGGCGGGGTATAAATAAAAATTATTATTATTATTATTATTGTTATATGAGAGATAGCTTTGGAAGGATTTGTAAGTGAAAAGAACTAACTATTGGGAAAGGTTTTTCCTTCACCTGCAGAGTAAATATCTGGGGTCATTAAGACGGTCAAGATAGCTTCAGGATTGCTCTGTGAACTCAAAGAAAGTGTGTCTTTTTTTCCAGGGAATATTTTATAATTTTTGAATGGTGAAGGATTGGTTTTTCTCTAGGGTGCATGTCCCTTGCAAAAATCAGAAGTATTAATCACTTTTGCTTAGCTGAATATGTTAATCCCATATGGAGTCCTTAAGTAGGTCCGCTATCGGAAGCAGAAAATAACAGAGGCCAACCAGAGAATATTGAGAAGCAAAGCAGCTAGTAAGCTTGATCTTTATTAACTGTTCCAACAGGTTGCTCACAGCCACACACAGAAGGCAGGAGAGACCCAGAAGAAAGGCGTGCAAACTCTTATATAGACTTTTGAAATTTCCACCCTGTACCTCAAACCCCCCCCCCCAATACATCATACATACATCACAGCAGAAGGGGCGGTCTACAACAAAATCTTGTCTGGCAGGAAACCTGTTGATGGGTTTACCTGGAGAGCCTGGCTATTCTTTTGTGATGATAAATACTTATGGTAATTCCTCACAGGCTCACCCTATTCATACCCAAATGTACCCTTAAGGCAGGATTTGTGAGCACAGAGACAATATCTGAGGTCACTGAAAGAGTGAAAATGGCTTTAGGACTGTTTTCCTATACTGCTTCAGACATTTTGTGTGTTTGTGTGAGTGCGCGCACGCATGTGCCTGCGTCTGGTACATTTATGAACATTTATTTTATATCTTAGACCTTATAATCCTCATAACACTTTGATAAAATACATATTTTGTTATGTGCAAATGGCTTTAGATGCCTATTCGGTCCATAAATTACCATCTAGCATATATTCAACACCAAAAACAGCGACAATTCGTTGTTGATAAAGGACAGCTGGACATATAAGGGCCCCATTACCTTCAGTAGGTTAGGGCCTCATCAAACCTAAATCTGGCCCTGGATGTGGAATAAGAAAGAAAAGACAGTGAAGAAGAAATGAGGCCAAGAGAAAAGACAGATGGAAAGATACCACCATCTGAGGCAGGCAACTCCCTTGTTTTTCAAGCCAAACGAAAATGACTGAAGGGTGGGAAATATGAGTGAAAATACTGAGAATAGGAAAAGGAGACGGCAGGAGAAAAAGGAGATAAGAAAATGTGGCAAGCGGGTGTTGTAAACAAAAATTGCCCTCTTCCCTTATGGGGTATCCAAGAGCCCATATAGAGTCCTTACATAGGTTCCCTATTGGTAGGAGAAAATAACAGAGGCCTTGGATCATAAATAAGTGGTTTCCAGCTGTACAGGTTAAAGTTATTGAGAGACTAAGATTAAAGATTAGGATTAAAGATGTTTAAGGAAATGGAAATTTGGTACTTAAGAGGTAAAATTTTAATGTTATATTACATTAAGATTAAAGATTAGGATTAAAGAAGTTTAAGTGTTATATATTATATTAAGATTAAAGATTGGGATTAAAAAAGTGGAAAAGAAATTGCTGGACAAACAATTTGGACTGGAATACAAAAGAGGGAGGTATGAGGAAGTCCAGAAAATAAGTAAATTTAAAAACGGAAATGGAAAAGTGATATTGTTTTTAATTGTTCTGTTTTTTTTTAGGTTTTTTTTGTATTTTGTTTTCTGTGTTTTCCTTTTCTTTTTGGATTATGTATTGTGTGTTTTTGTACTTTTACTTTTATGTTCTTCTGTTTAACTTTTAATGAAATTTTAATAAAAATTATTTAAAAAAAGAAAATAACAGAGGCCAACCAGAGAATATTGAGAAGCAAAGCAGCTAGTAAGCTGGATCTTTATTGATCTGTTGCAACAGGGTGCTCCCCTCACATGCAGGAGGAGGAGGAGGGACCCAGAAAAATGGTGTGCAAGGCCTTATAAAGACTTTTGAAATTGTCACCCTATAGATCAAGACCACCCCCAGAAACACATCACAGAAAAGGCGGTCTAAACAGAAATTTGAATGTTGTTTTTCTCCTGTCCTTGTTTATCTCCTGTCTGGCAGGTTACTTGATTGGATTGCCTGGGGAGCCTGGCCATTCTTTTGTAATAATAATAATATTTTTTATTTTTACCCCGCCCTCCCCAGCCAAGGCTGGGCTCAGGGCGGCTAACAAGCAATAATAAAAGTAAGTTGAATGAATACAACTTAAAAACAAAATTAAAATACAACATTAAAATATTGAAGCATTTAAATATTAAAATGTAGCCTCATCACAGGAGGAGAAAGGAAAAGAAAAAAGAAAGAGAGGGAGGGAAGGAATCAAATTGGCTCCAAGCCAAAGGCCAGGCAGACCAACTCTGTCTTACAGGCCCTGCGGAAAGAAATCAGATCCTGCAGGGCCCTGGTCTCATGAGGCAGAGCGTTCCACCAGGCCGGAGCCAGAGTTGAAAAGGCCTTGGTTCTGGTTGAAGCTAATCTAAGTTCCTTAGGCCCCGGGACCTCTAGGGTGTTGCTGTTTATGGACCTTGAGGCTCTCCGTGGGACATACCAGGAGAGGTGCTCCCGTAGGTATGAGGGTCCTAGGCCCGTGAAGGGCCTAGGATAGTGATAAATTGTAGTGATAAATACTTAGTTCCTGGGCCATGCCACAGGCTCATACCTTATTCATATCTTAAATGTGCCCTTAAGACAGGATTTGTGAAGGAAAAGACAACGGGGAGGATTTTCCATTTTCCTTTGACCTTGCAGAGAAAACATTTATATATTTTCGGCTCCCACGAAAATATATAAATAGAGGAAGATCTGTGACAATAGATTCAAGAACTGAGGTATTTACCATTTCAAGGGAACGGCTCAGACTGGCCAGGAAAGGGCAACCAGCAAGCATTGTCAGGTATCATGACAAGAGACAAGCCAGGAGACAAGATGGCCTCTTTCTGTGATGCATGGATGATGCTTGTTGGGTGGGCAGTGGTTTTCAACTAGGGTGCTGTGGCACCCTTTGGTGCCTTGAATGATGGTCAAGGGTGCTGGCAGCAACACTGGCCTCTGTCCCTCTTTCTCCCCCCCCCCATGCCTTCTTGCATCTCTGCCTCCCAAAGGCTTGCGCAGCTGTTTGTTGCAGCACCCCTGGCTACAAGCTCCCCAGGCGAACGGTGCCTCTGGAGCTGGCCAGGGGGTACTTCCCAGGCCCCTGTGGGGCAGCGTGAGGAGGCACCTCGCTTTAGGGAAGGGGCGGCAGCTGTGGCTGTCCAGAGGACTCCGAAGGAGAGGGGAGAGGAGAAGAGGGAACACGCCACAAGGGAAGGAGTCAGAAAAAGAAGGAGAGGCTGCCAGCTCTGCTGGCAAGGGGTGACATAGCTGGGCTCCTGAGCCTCACAGAAAGAATGTAGTTGGTCAAGGGAGCCGTGGACTCAAAAAAGTCCAAAACCTCTGGGCTAAGGGAAACCCAGCCAGATTGGGGGGGGGGTATAAAAAATAAATTATTATTATAATTATTGGCAATTTCTCAAGTCTTTAAAAGTTGTTACACACACTTGTCTTGGCTCCTCACCTCCATGCAACATGTAAGGTGAGAAACTCTGTCGCAACAGTAAAATTAAGATCTGCCTTGCTTTGACTGGTTCCTGCCGCCGCTCATTTTCTCTGACCCATCATGGATTTAGCCCCAACCCCAAGAAACTAGTAACTGAAGGAGGTGGGTCATGGGAATTGAAGCGTATGCTTTCTGCATACAACACACCCACTGCCAAGCACCTCCATCTCACCTGCCCCCAACCCCATAACACCCTCTCTCCTAAAATAGACCGGGGTCACTGAGTCCTTCCCAGCAATAGAATTAGCCGTTCTGGAAGATTCCTAAAATGTTATTAATCCAGAGTTCAGAGTTCAGAATTCAAAGGTCCCAAATATAAAATAAACGTTCATAAATGTACACGGCAAACACATAAGTAAGTACAGGGGTGCAATCCTGTCAGCTTCTTTAGGAGACAACAAGAGTCTGCAAAGCAGGATACAAATAATAGAAAAAGTATTAAACTGTACATTTCAAAGAATATATATATATATCACCCTAGCGTTGCATGGCATTAACATTTTCTAACCACTAGGCCACATGGACTCTCCTAGATAGAGCCTTGGCACTGAGGCCAGGAATTCCAAGTTCTCAACTGCCGTTGCCTAGGAACGGAGCTTGCGACCCTTTGAGATTCCTCAGCATCCAGAGGTTGGCAGAGGTGTGACCTGAGGATGGCGTCCCAAAGACTCCTGGAGGTAAGTCTAGGTTGCCATGGCCAGGGGACCTAACCCTGGAACCTACTTGTATGAACTTTATTATGGTCACAGACCAGGATAAAAAAAAGAAAGAGCATATAAATAAAGTAGCAGTTAGGATTCATTTTTTTTAACCGGTAACTGTTAGAGCAAATGAGGACAAAGAAACAGGCATAGGGTAAAAGTGTTTAATGGTCACTTTAAAATGTGAAGGTTCATTGTTGCTTCACAAGTTGTGTATGTCTTTACGGGCCAGGGCAAGTAACAAGACCCAGTCTTACAGTTGTGTTAATCAAGCTGTGTCAGCAATTGGGTATAGTATATAAGGAGCAGCACCTAGCTCTCCCATTACCCGGGGGGATGGGTTGGTGGTTGGGTCTGGTTTGTTGTTCATGTGTTTAGCGTATAAGGAGTTTTTGTTTTTGTTATTAAAACCTTGTTTGAGTTATTTTTGAGTCCCTTTTTATTTTTTATTTTTTAAATAATATTTATTAAAATTTCACAAGAAAAAAAAACACATTAATGAAGAAAAAATTAACAATAAAAAGAAAAAATACAAAGTAAAAAAGGAAAAAAACAATTAAAAACAATTTCATCTTTTCCTCACTTTTACATTTACTTGTTTCTCGGACCTCCTCTTACCCCCCTCTTTTGTATTCTAATTAAATATGTTAATCCAACAATTCCTTTCCCTCCTTTTTAATCCTAATCTTTAATCTTGATATAATATAACTTAAAATTTTAGATTTTAGATATTAAAACCAATTTTTAGATATTAAATTTTTAGATATTAAAACCAATTTTTCCATATTCTTTTAGCCTGTACAGCTAGAAACCTCTTAACTTCAATCCAACATCATTCTAACATCCATTAATTTTGTAATATTTCTGTAAATAGTCTTTGAATTTCTTGCAATCTTCTTCCACCGACTCTTCTCCCTGGTCACGGATTCTACCAGTCATTTCCGCCAATTCCATGTAGTCCATCATTTTCATCTGCCATTCCTCCAGTGTGGGTAGATCTTGTGTCTTCCAATACTTTGCAGTGAGTATTCTTGCTGCTGTTGTAGCATACATAAAGAAAGTTCTGTCCTTTTTTAACACCGATTGGCCGACTATGCCCAGGAGAAAGGCTTCTGGTTTCTTCAAGAAGGTATAATTAAATACCTTTTTTAGTTCATTATATATCATCTCCCAGAAAGCCTTAATCTTTGGGCACGTCCACCAAAGGTGAAAAAATGTACCTTCAGTTTCTTTACATTTCCAACATTTATTATCAGACAAATGGTAGATTTTTGCAAGCTTGACTGGGGTTATGTACCACCTGTATATCATTTTCATAATATTTTCTCTTAAGGCATTACATGCCGTAAATTTCATACCTGTGGTCCACAACTGTTCCCAGTCAGCAAACATATTATGTCCAACGTCTTGTGCCCATTTAATCATAGCAGATTTCACCGTTTCATCCTGAGTGTTCCATTTCAACAGCAAGTTATACATCTTTGACAAAGTTTTAGTTTTGGGTTCTAACAGTTCAATTTCTAATTTTGATTTTTCCACCTGGAAGCCAATTTTCTTATCCAAATTGTATGCCTCCATTATCTGATAATAATGAAGCCAGTCTCGGACTTTGTTTTTTAGTTTTTCAAAACTCTGCAATTTCAATCTGTCTCCATCTTGTTCCAAAATTTCCCAATATTTCGGCCAATTGACCTCCATATTGAGCTTTTTCAAGGCTTTCGCTTCCATTGGTGACAGCCACCTTGGAGTTTTATTTTCCAATAAATCCTTGTATCTTATCCAAACATTAAACAGTGCTTTCCTGACAATATGGTTTTTAAATGCTTTATGTGCTTTGACCTTGTCATACCACAGATATGCATGCCATCCAAATACATTGTTAAAGCCTTCTAGATCCAAAATGTCAGTGTTTTCAAGAAGCAGCCATTCTTTCAACCAGCAAAATGCTGCTGATTCATAGTAAAGTTTGAGGTCTGGCAGGGCAAATCCACCTCTATCCTTAGCATCTGTTAGTATTTTAAATTTTATTCTAGGCTTCTTGCCCTGCCAGACAAATCTAGAAATATCTCTCTGCCACCTCTTGAAACAGTCCATTTTGTCCAGAATTTGCAGTGTTTGAAACAAAAACAACATTCTAGGCAATACATTCATTTTTACAGCAGCAATACGACCCAGCAGTGAATTTTGAGTCCCTTTTTAATGCATGGTCTCCCCAGCAAGCTCTCTGCAGCGCTACTAAACTGCAAATAGCCAACAAAAACATCTGAATAAAATACAAGATTAAACACGGATAATGAATGGATAAAAACTGATAATTAAAACAGATAAGAACTAAAAAACAAACAAAGGCACGCAGTTAAAACAACTGTAAGAGCATAAGAACTAAAAGACTCGCAGTTAAAACTATAAGAGGCTGCAGAGTAGAAGCTTCTGAAACTCACAACATTAGAAACTGCTGTGCAAATATGGTTAAAACAGACAATTAAAACCATGCAAAACAATAAATTTAGAAACAATGTTGTAGTAAAGGGGCTCTGGCCACTCACCCCTCCCTCACCTGCCCTTACCCTCCAGCTGGGTCAGGTTTCTGGAACGGAGGCCGGCAGTCATTTACTTTTTCACAAAACAAAACGCCACAAAAATGGTAATGCTGCCACCACTCTGTCTCAGGGCACCCGGAGGCACAGTCCAAGGGAGAAGACTATGCTCCTTTGTTACCGGTTGCCCCACTCTGCAAGCTGCTTCCACAAACTTGCAGGCAGAAATTCATCAGGTATAGCGTAACCAAGTAGTCAGGCGTTGGACTTAGATTTTCCCTCAGATTGGCACATAAGACAAAAGATTCTTTTTTTAAAATTTATTTTAAAAAACACAGTTAACATGCTTAAAAAGCAGGCACATCTTTTGTATCTTGCAGGCAGATAAAATAAAGACATTGTTTAATATAGCTAACTAAGATACTCACTTCTAAGAACAAAGACAGAGATAGGATAGTTTCAAAGTCCTTCAGTAGATCCGCATTACAAAGTCAGCAGGAATCTCCATTACAAAGAGACACAGGACAGCTGTTGGCAAATCGCAGGTTGCAGAGCGAGCTTTCTCAGCCCTTCTTAGGATCTTTATTCACAAATCTCACGTGGAACCAGAACCCAGACCCAATCACAATTCTTGATTACATTCAAATTCACCAATGACCAGCTTATGGGCTAATAATTTTAGCTTGTGACAGCTGAGCTCATTAAGTTCCCAGAACCTGGATCAAAAGGCTCACCCCTTTCCTCGGATGTTTCACAGATGCACATTCCCAGGTAATTAAAAGACTGATAACAACACTAGGTGGGTGTGAATAGCTGGAGCCCCAGGTGTCAAGACCCCAAATCAAACTAGAGAACTTCCTTCCTAAGATAACAATTTACACATTTGGAGACTGTGGTCTGCAGGGTTAAAGCAACAGACCTGTTTCCCATAACTCTTGTGGCTTTTTGATTACCCACAATACTCTGCTACTTTCTTGACCAAAGTTTGAAATCCTTAACTTCACTACACCCTCCCCTCTAAGATGAAATTACAGGGTTAAGTCCCTAAATTTCATCAAAACAATGTACAAACTGATGTAAACATTTCCAGCTTGAGTGGTTAAGCAGCCTTTTAAAGAAAAAATCACTAGCAGCACACTCAAACTGATCTTCCCAGAACTAGGGGGGTTGCACAAATAACTCATCCTGGGTCAGTACCGCAGGCACAGTAAAAAAGCTGTGAAATAACAA